TTTGATATTGGGTCTTAATGAAAACTATATATTACTTGAAACGATATGTATACTTGCATGGTATCTCTAGTGTGTAAACTATTAATCAAATTAATCATACATTTATTTTGCTCACTATCTGCTGAATATAAATTGGGCCAACATTTTGGCCATCTTTTCAGGTTTAAATAATTAGTAATTGCGGGTTAGGTCAATGCATAATAACAATTTGCCTATTGCTGGGAAATTTTGCCAGTATGTGGTATATATAAATGACCAAAGGAAAATATGTTGAGATTTTCATACCTTTTTACACTGATTTTGATGATATTGCACTTTAAAGAAAGGTATTTTTGATGTTTTGTTGCAGGTATGTTGAATTGTGATCATTGGAGCAAAAAGATGCAAAAAGGAGCAAATTTGGAGCAAAAAGGACCAAAATATGAAGATTTGACCTTGGGTGCTGACGGTGAGCTCGACGCCGCCGACGGCGAGCTTGACGCTGCTGACGGTGAGTTTTTCACGAGAGTCCATAATTAAATATTCTAGAAGGCCGCAAACAGCGCCATCGAGGCCGCTGACGGCGAGCACGTCGGTTCTCTCAATAGATGCATTGAATGTGGACGATTTTTAAAGGGACGTTTAAAGGGACGGGGACGCTTGGGCAACTCTTGAAACCTCTTCTACAACTTTAAAAGAAACATTTGGAGGCCGAAAAAGGAGGTTTCCACTGAGTCTTTATTGTTTGTGGTGCCCATTGGAGTGTAGAGAGTGGTTAGTATTGTGAGGAATTCTTTGAGAGATTGTAAGGTGAAAAGAAAGTGAGAGATTTCAGAAGGAAAGTGAGAGGTTTCTTCCTCATTGCCGCTTTGAAGGAGAATTCTGTGTGCTGTAAAGAAAGGAAGAGATTTAGAGGAACTTCGAGGAGTTTGCTTGGGGAGGAATTAGAGATAAGTTGTATTGACTTATTGAAGTTTGTATGACTTTGCTTTTATATATTAATTCTAACTTTTGTCATATCTTCTCGATGAGTTCTAAGTAGTTTTCTCTGTCTTTCTCCTTGTCTTAAGATTTTATGAAATGGTGATTTGAATTGGTTGT